TTGCATGGAAAGAATACAGTGATCACTAAACAAACTGATGGGTATGATTGCTTCATTCTTTCATGTACTCAAACATATGACAAGAAAATGTTTGTGGATTATCACTTGAAATTTTGTGATGCCTTCCCAGAAGATGACTGAATCCAAATAAAACCTGGGGTTCTTCTTTGGTGTTGGCAAACTCCTTGCATAGCCCAGGAATCTTATCCAGGAATCTTCATATCCTTAGCTTCTGCCATAATGCGACAAGTCCAGTGTGATGCTAAGCTACAGGTGACTTTGTGTTTTGCTGTGGTAAAGGAACTGTCGGACTACTAAACATGTCTCATTCTTGGTTACCTCACTTTTTACTGCAAACCCACATAATAACTTTCATTTTGTTCCATTAAAGAGTTTATATCTGTCGGCAGATTCAACCTCCTCAGTTTTCACCGGGTTAGAGGGAATTGCAAAGCTCAGAGGCTGCACACTGATGAGTGTGCTGATGCTGAGTATGTCATTGTGTGGCCAGGACTTGAGAGAGCAGGAAGCTTGTCTCCCAAATGAAGTTAGGCCAGTGGTGCCTTTCCTTCCTCGGGTGTATTCAGATTTGTCAGAGGCATTTTAATTCAGAATTTAGTTTTACATAATGCAGGCCAGCCATATCCCAGAAATATAATTACATAAAGATGGGTAGCTAACAACCCTCTGGCTCCTATGCTTGTTCCTAAGGAGTGTAACCCAGCCACTGCAGCAGTTCCGATAACACAGTTTTAATTTGGGTGGCACACTGAGCATCCATTACGTGTGGCCCAGGCTCTCAGCCAATGTTGTAATACAGCCACGGACAAAGATAGTTGTGGATCCTGACCACTGAATATGAAAGTATGCAGAAGAGGACTGAATGTTTTTAATCTACAGTATCAAACTATTCAGTGTCTCAACGGAGCAGAAACTCATAGAAGGCCTGTAAAAGTAAGGAGGCTTGAAACAGCCAAACTTGGTTTTTCTTAATCATTCTTAGGAGTGGCTTATCTCCTAGATAATTAAGTCCCATGTATACATGACTTCTTCCTGTGCCTCACATCCGGAAAGAGCTACCACTACCGTTTACACTTGCATTGCCTTGGTAATGTACCTGTGCTATCACCATAGCAACACTCTTGAGAATGACCTCAGCAGCCACTCAGAATCAGTCTTACAAAACAAATTATAGCTATAATTAACTCTGCAATATGTATTTGTTCAGGCCCTGGTGTTTCTTTTTAAAAGGTTAAATGAATAGAAGAATACAACATGGGCCCACCCCTATTTTCCATTAGTTTTTGTTGATAATATGAAATATTTCAGTGGAAAATAGAGATTAGAGATGACTTTATTACATCCTCTAAAAATGTGGCATCCATAAATGAAGAAGACATACTACACTACTAGGACACCACTTAAAGGGGTACAGAGTAACCCCCTCCCCACCCCATGAAGCCAATATGAAATGCAAAAAAAAAAAAAAATGTGTGAGTTCTTCCTCCAAGCCCTCTTGTCAAGCCTTGGTGGGGCAGGTGAGTTGGGGCTCTGTGGGCACGAGCTGTTGACATTGGCCCTTTCTGGGCAGTAAAAGATGCGGGGCTCACTTGTCTGTTGCTTTGGGCTTGGAAAAATGTGTCTTCAGTATTGTACCTTCTGAGCCACTCAGTAGAAAATTAATTACATGGACAGATTGTGCATCTTTTGGTTGGTGAGTTTGTTTTGTGTTTCACTGCTTTTGCTTGGGGGTGTGTCTGGTATGGGTGTAGGTGGTGTATACTGCAGCTAGCAGAGATTGATAGTGTTCAGCCTTTTCCTTTTGCTAAACTTTGCTGATTTAGTTTTCTGCCCCGGGAGGTGAGCTTTCCCTGCATTGTTCAACTGAGGTGAAGCAAGACTGTCCAGCAAGATCATCACTTACTTTTAGCTTATCAGAAATGCATAGTTTTTTAAAAATCTACTTATTTTGTGTGTTTGAGGGTTTTGTGTGCATGTATATCTGTGCACCACATGTGTGCCTAGTGCTGACAGAGGCCAGAAGAGGGAATTGGGTCCCTGGAACTGAAGTTAGAGCTGTTTGTGAGCTGCTATGTGGGTACTGAGAGTTGAACCCAGTCCTCTGGAAGAGCAACCAGTGCTCTAAGCACTGAGTCATGTCTTTAGTCTGCATGGAACATTTTAAAAGACGATCCTGAGACAGATGAGAACTTGGCAAGCAGCAAATGTTCAGTGTTGTAGTTGTTACTCTACAGGAGCTGTAGGAAGGGTGAAGAGGGAAGAGAATCCTCACCATGGGAATGTCTCGAGACAGCTCAGAAGTACCCTAGATCACAGAGAAATGCCACTGACAGTTCTGTAGGGTGGCTGCTGGTCCTTTGCAAGTGGCTTTCCAGTTGCAGGTATGTACCCTGGCTCCATGTCATACACATAGTTGTAAGGAGTGCAGTGCACCCTTCCTGATTGGAGAGATGCTGTCAAGGCTCCTGACGTGCAGCTTGATAGAAAACCCCCCACTTCGTGCACTGATTCTTTAAATTATCCCTGGCAAACAGTCCTACCTGGAAACAGTGCTAGAAGCACTGGTTCATCTTTAGGAAACAAAACCACAATTTCCCTTTACTCTAGACTGCCTCAGCATCATGTACATGAGAATCAACAGGCCTCTGTTCTGACCTGTGCATGGGACATAAGTAGAGCGGCAGCATATTTCTTAGTTTCATTTTCTGAGGTCTTTTTTTTTTTTTTTTTTTTTTTTTCTTTCCAGAGCTGAGGACTGAACCCAGGGCCTTGCGCTTGCTAGGCAAGCACTCTACCACTGAGCTAAATCCCCAACCCCTCTTAGTTTCATTTTCATCTTGCTACTCTACATGCAGAGTTCTTTGTCTTCTCTGAAATTAGTTCTTGTACACAAATGATGATTACATAGATTTTAGAATATACACTTAAAATGTTTAAGTCAAGGGTCTGATAGATTAGAAAGCTGCATTTGCACAGAGCAGCCTTTTGCTTTTGTGTCTGGTATGAGCCACTTTATCTTTAGTCGAGATATAGTCAATCCACAGAACATGGGCTCTGTTAATCCCATCAGGTGACCAGGGCTGTGTCCAGTGCCACTAAAATACAGCTTTACACCTGTGTTCTCCCAACAGCCCCCTCTGCCTTCTGGCCAAGTTTAGAGTAATTGAGGTATGAAGGAGTTCTCACTGGTGAGCAGAGGGCTCATAGCTGGCTGCAAATGTGTGGATGTGTCTGGAGTAAGGCCTGAGTATGATAGCTGCTTTGCTGGAGTTCTCTCCTGCTCTTGCCATGGAGACCTGGTTCACTTCCACCAAGGCAGTTTTACTTTGTTATTGAAGTCAGACTTTTGTGTTAGGAGTCTGTGACTCTTACAGGCTGAGAATACCATTCCCTTGTAACATTCAGTTTCACTCATAAAGGAACTCCAGTGGTAAGAATTCAGAGCTAAAAGCTTTAATGCTCAAACTAACTCTCTGTATAGCAAACCCATCCATTCAACAAAGAGTGACTAAATAATTACTATTTTCTTGGCACTAAAGTGGAAATAAAGATGTGTTGAGACAAAACATCTTCTTTCAGATAGATTCTGTCCACTGAGTATGTATTGTGATTACTGAGTTATAACCACCATGTATACCAAACGTTCAAACTCATTGAATCTTATTTGTAGTCATTGCGGAGCTGATTCCTTCCAGTTCTGTTAATGGCACCACCATTGTTCTGCCTCTCCCTCACAGGTCAGTCACCCTGTGTAGACATTGCAGCCATGTGTTTTGAAACCATTGTGCTTCGTCGTTTCCAGAGCAGAGGAGAGCATGGTCCTCTTTGAAATCATAAGATGCTTCTTGGAATAGTCATTTCCACCTTGCCGTCATCAGTTCTGTTAAATTGTGTCATTCGTGACATCACAACTTAAGCCCTACACTTCAAGAGAGTAGAAAGTGAATGGATAGGTTCTGGAAACAACAGAACCATGCTGATGGTGAACGTGTCCTTGCCAGGGGTTAGGGTTAGCAATGATAACACGTCATTTTCTTTATGCCAAGTAGGAAGGTGTCCGCCCTGATTGTGGTGGTGATTACACAGATATCTACATGTGGCAAAAATCTCACAGACTGTGTACCACAAACACACACACACTCATATACATAAATGTTTACGAATACCTATAACTAAGGCCTGTGGTTTTATAAATAATACCATGAGTTTTCTAATTTTGATAACATCAGATTCCTGGTTTTGTTATTGTGATTTAGATACAATACATAAGGTGCTATCATTAAGGGAAAGCCAATTGAAATTCTGTGATAATTTGATAAGTTTCTTTTGAGTCCAAAATTATTTTTAAAAAATAAAATGTTTTATTCCTCCCTCCCCGAGGAAACGTATAGGCATAATGGGTAGATACATTTAAAATTGGTGTAGGTGGCTCCAAAGAGTATCTAACCTCAGACATCATTATTACCATAACTGAAAATCTCATGGCTTTGCATGAATAGCAAATGACTTGGGCTTTGGACATAATCAATGACATGGTGTGCTGCTTCTCTCAGGGGAATGAGGAAACTTCTCCCAGGAAAAAACTGATGTTCTGCAGACAAAAGAGAAGATAAATCCTGACCTTACACTCAGAGTTATTCTGTGGTTGCTTATGCAAATTCACTTTATAAATAATTAAAAACTTTATTTAACTCTTGATTCGCCAGCCAAGCCTGCTAAACAAGTAGAGGATAGGAGACTGGCTTGAATTCCTTAGCGGCTCTCCTTTCCTTTTGTGTGAGTTCCAACAGATGAGGAAATGGGAGTCCAGTGAGTAGGCAGCAGTGGATGGAGAACCTCCTCTGAGTGATGGAAGGTTCGCCATGTCTGTTTCCTAGACTGCTGCTTTCTGGTATTTGTTTTCTGTGACTCCTTTGCCCCTTCCCTTCCATGGGTTTGGAGTGATGGTAACTGACGTTCTTGTGTCTTCCCTCTTCCAGCTATCTAAACGACTTGGACCGTGTAGCCGACCCTTCCTATCTGCCTACACAGCAAGATGTGCTTAGAGTTCGAGTCCCCACCACAGGAATCATCGAATACCCCTTTGACTTACAAAGTGTCATTTTCAGGTAGTGCCTGAGTTCATTAACACCTACATACAGAGTTTAAAGCCTGCAGCTTTGTGTGGATGTCATCCTTGGGATACACAACTGAAATAATGTATCAGTGAAAGAGAAAGCAAAAGAAAGATATTCTGGAATTTTCATTTCAGGCTAAATAACCAGGCAGTTAATGAAACCTTAGTTGCTGGTGGTAGAACACTGTTACTCAAACCACTCTGTGTGTGTGTGTGTGTGTGTGTGTGTGTGTGTGTGTGTGTGTGTGTGTACACATACATATAATCATTTTATCTGAGGACGTAGTTTATTTTTAGAATTTTGTAAGATACAAATGGTCATATAATTCTATCAGTAATAGCAATTACACTTGTTCAGAAACTTTTGTTTTGCTTTTTGAGATAGGGTTTCACTCTATAGCCTAGACTGGCCTTGAAGTCCCAGCAATTCTCCTGTCTCAGCCTCACAGTTGCTGGAATTTTAGGCAGGAACCATTGTGCCTTCCATCGAAAACTTCCATATTGATATTTTCTCCATGTTGTTTGGTACCAATACAGAATTTCTTCATACTGTTAAAGTTACTTTATACAATAAAATGCTTGAGCGTTTCAAATTCATGATTTGTTAAAGTAGAATACTTAATATAAATCGATATGCAAAGAAGGGGAGTTTGTTATTTCCCTGTTCATTGCTGCTATTTGCCTTAATGCTTCAACTGAACCTTTTTTTAAAGAGAAGAAAAATAATACTAGTATCTTTTCACTTTACTATTTCATAATCACTTAAATGTACTTTTAGTTGGAATACAAACCACTTAGAGCTTTGAGGAGTGTTGAGCTGGCTCTTGAGGGAGCCTTCTCGCTTAGGATGGGCCTGGGCATGAGGCTGTGAAGCCGCCTTCATGTAACTCCCTCTGAAGCATGCCTCTGCTGTGAGACTCAGCAGATGTGTGCTCTGCTGTTTCTGGCCAAAGCACCAATTTTTATTTTATTTTTTATTGTTACTACTTTTTTTGCTCTCTTCATTCTTGGCACCTGTGATAATCTTGCCACCGTATACTGCTCAAAAGCACATGGCTGTGGAGTAGGTAGGACTTTGAAAATACTTACGAACCTCTCTTTTTAATCTATAATGGGTACATTAAGATGATCACCAAGGTTCCTGGGGCCAGCATTCTGTATTACATATCTTGAGTTTGCAACATCTGGATACTCAATTTACTTACTTTCATAGCCATAATACAGAAAAAACATACAGTACTTCTTGGATATTTTCACATCTTAGTTGCTCTGCAATTTCAAAAATTGATTAGGATTCCATCTCATTCTTGACATATTTTGTATTAGTGTTGCATAATACTTTTTGCCCCTACAATGCAAGTAATGACATCAGTGTCTGATTTCCTGTCCTCAGATACACAGCATTGGTTCCCCGCTATAGGACGTCCTTGACCAGCAATTCCATGTAAATGAGTTGCATATTTTCACACAGTGGCACTGGGGCAGAGCCATCATTTTAATATCTTGAACACCTCAAAGTCCCACTTTTGATGTCCAAAGCTCCCAGGTTGTGTGGACGCATCGTTTTGCCCCTCTTATCTCACTCCTGTACCTTTGGAGTCTTTTAGAAATGGTGGTGTGAATGATCCTTGATTTCTGGGCTGGGGAGGTGACTCAGTCAATACGGTATTTTGCTGTGCATCTCCCCATGATCCACATAAAAAAGTATGGTAGCATATACTTGCGATGCAAGATCCAGAGAGTAGAGGGTACAAAGACAGGTTCCTGGGGCTTTTGGCCATCTGGTGTAGCCAGTTGATGAGCTCCAGGTTCAGTGAGAGACCCTATCTCAAAAAACCAAGGTGGAGAGGAACAGAGAGAGCCGCCTGATATTCATCCTCTGTCTTCCACATAAACATGCACACACGTGCACACACACACACCCATATGTACAATGTACACACTCAAAGAAACAGAAGTTCTTTGAGTTTTTCCTTTGAATTTAGTGTGAGAATCAGGAAAGCACCCAAAGTAGGCACAGTGTTCAGTAGATTCCTACAGAGCATCACTCTTCCTCTTTCATACCAAATCTCCTCATTTTCTGAGACTTCTTTCCTCTGAATGTTGTGTGCATCAGTCAAGATGCAGCTCCAGCAATTTGGAGGAGCTGATCTGGTGTCAGGCAATGCTGGATATGTGCACATACATACTTGCATTCTATTCTTGATGCCCTTGCTGGTGTCTGAGGATAACCAAGTGCAGAGTGGATGCATTAAAAGCAGACCCAGGAGATGGTTCAAATGATGCCCATGAGGCACTGTGTAACATTTTGATATCTTACACCACACTTCATTTCCAGCAAGGTGACAAGTTGGTTTGTGTATCATGCTGCCTGATTTGATTGGGCCTGTGCTAAATTATTGCCACTATTGAAAGAAAGAAAAAGCCCCAAATTCTTACCCTGCAGAAGGAAGCATAGGCAGGATCATGTGTACATTTAACACCCTTTTTGTATGGAAATGTGTGGCATCTTGTATCCTTTAAATGTATCCATGGTCATTCCTAACATCCTCAAGTAACACATGAGGGTCTTCACTCTGACATCTAGGAAATGAAAGTAAAATTTATTATTTGTTATTTGGCTTAACATAAAAACATCCTGTGTTTGCCTTTGCAGTGCGTAATGTAATACTGTTTTGCTTGGCACAGATAAGGAAGTTTTACATGATTACAATTGCATATCTAGTAACTTCCCAGTAACCACAGTGATTTATTACCTACCATGCCTTATTTCTATCAGGTAACAGACAATTCATAGATATCAATAAACATTAATTGACTTGGATGCCATTGTCTTCCTAGTATTGAATTTTCCCTGGTTTGTAAATAGTATTATATATTATATTGATACTCTTAAATTTTTCTTCATATTATTAATATGAATATTATTAACTTTGCAGAATGGTCGATGTAGGGGGCCAAAGGTCAGAGAGAAGAAAATGGATACACTGCTTTGAAAATGTAACCTCGATCATGTTTCTAGTAGCGCTTAGCGAATACGATCAAGTTCTTGTGGAGTCAGACAATGAGGTAAGTGCTCTTTGGACAGTAGTGACTTATCATTTTAGTACCTGATAGAAGTAAGCGACAAGAGGTAGAATGTGGGGAATCGAATGAGTTGAAGTCATTACTTTCTTTACCACTATTTCAGGATTTTTTTTTTCAATTTATGTTTTTAGTTCTTACTACACTAGTATATTTATTTTGTAATAACAGTCTGTGGGGGTGGGTCCTAGGGATGGAACTCAGGTTCTCAGGCTTGGCTCCAAGCACCTCTACCCATTGACCTATCCTACCTATCTGGATGTTTGAACTACTCATACATGTAGCTGGAAGTTTTTCTGTGTCCTGCTTGGCCAGCGGTCAGGACAAATCTCTCACCCACAGTCCCGTGGCCTTTTATAAAATAATCACACAGAGTCTTAATATTAATTATAACTGCTTGGCCATTAGCTCAGGCTTATTACTGACTAGCTCTTACACTTAAATTAACCCATAATTCTTATTTATGTTTAGCCACGTGGCTTGGTACCTTTTCTTAGTTAGACATTCTCATCTTGCTTCCTCTGTGTCTGGCTGGCGACTCCTGACTCAGCTTTCCTCTTCCCAGAATTCTCCTTGTCTCCTTATCCTGCCTATACTTCCTGCCTGGCTACTGGCCAGTCAGCATTTTATTTATCAACCAATCAGAGCAACACATTCACAGCATACAGAATGATATCACCCATCACATTAATAACCCTGTGAAACCAACCTACAACACACTCAGAATGGCAAGCTTTTTCTGTCAGGAATGCAAGCAGGTCTGTGTGCTCAGATCTAATTGGAACCTGTTTGATACTTTTAACACTGTGCAGAGGTTCTAAACATGAAAATATCATGGAAAGACCTAGGCTGATCACAGGATCATATCATAGCCTTCCTTGCAGGATAGAACTGCGAGTGTTGAGTGAGTCACCCTGTTTCGTTTTGCTTTCATTTTGTTTAAAACATTGTTTGCCTGATGGGTAGGCATTCAGAGCCTTCACTTGGCAGATGTGAATAACTTTGTAGCTGGGTTCAAAATCAGTTCATTGTGAAGCCATGCAGTGTCTTGGTGAGGTGGCCCCTCTACTAGAGTGTTGTTTGGGCCGTTGTGTAATGTAGTCTCTACTAAGCAGGGAGTGACTCAGGAACTGTTCTTCATCCCGTCTGGAGAGCTGGTTCTGTAGTGGGCTCTCTTCTCTGCTGCAGGGAGAGTTAACAGTTGGAAACACGGATTTTGAGAATAGTAGAGGTTTGATGAATCAGAGTTGACTGTGGAGGATAATTAAGGGGTGTAGGAAACAGCCTTTGAGCTAAAGTTCACAGTCTGAGTGTCTGAATGGAGACACCATTAATACTCCTGTCAGAACTTGCAGGTGGAGAGACCAGTGACATTAAGAAAAGGTAGAAAACAAAGAGAAGAAAGTGAAAAATCCCCAGCAATTGGTTAAACTGAGATCTGGTATGTCAAAATTTACTTTCAACACACATATCTTTTTGGTATATAAGAATTCCTGGCTTCTTGGTCTGTTTAAGATAGCTTATTTTTTGCAAGTCTTAATATTCTCATTTCAGTTCATACCCAGTATGCAGAGATTTGTATCAACCAACCATCTGAGCTAAAATACAAAGTGCCTGCAAGCATAGTAAAATACATAATTATCGGTTATCAAAATGTGAGCTGGGCAGTTGCCTTTGGAATGTTTACTGTTATAGCTCTCTGGCCCCTTTCTTAATCTGTACCTGTGCCCTTTGTTGCTCTATAATTCTTGGAGACTATAGTTTTAATATATTGCTTACTTTAGACATATTGTAACATGCCTATGGTTTCACTACTGTGTTTTGGGTACCAGTATATCCAAACAGTTACAAAATTGGGGGATGGGGTGGTAATTAACTTTTCCCTGGAGAAGCTTTAAAAAATTTTACCATTTTTAAAAAAATCAGAATAAGGCACATGAACCAATGACAGTAAGAGTTCTGCTGCGTAGATCCTTATTTCTTATATTCAGTTTGCTACCCGCTAAAATAAATTAAAAAAAAAAAAAAAGAAAGAAAAAAAAAGCCGGGCGGTGGTGGCCTTTAATCCCAGCACTCGGGAGGCAGAGCCAGGCGGATCTCTGTGAGTTCGAGGCCAACCTGGGCTAACAAGTGAGCTCCAGGAAAGGCGCAAAGCTATGCAGAGAAACCCTGTCTTGAAAAACCAAAAAAAAAAAAATTTTTTTTTTTTACATATGTCACCTACACAGAAGATGGGAGAAATACATATAATTTCATTTTTGTGTTTACATACTAGCAAAGGTAAATTAAGTGTCTACCAGTACACATTTTATGTCCATTAAATATGTTGTGTCTACAAAGAACTACATGTTGTGATTTAATGGCAATCAGTTTGCCATTTGTAAATTTGCAAAATAGCAAGAAGGTCAATTCTCTAAATAAGTTGTCACCTAAGTCTAGTACCACAGCCAGATCCTTTGTTTCTCTGGTCATTACAGATTTCACCTGTTGTTACAATAGAAATCTGATCTGTTGGTTGGTTGGTTGAAATAAAAGTATATTAGTTCAGTGGCATTTTTTATCAGACATCATCAAATTTATACCAGGAATTTGTTATTCAGTATGTAAGTATTCATTGTAAAAGCATGGCCCAGTTCCTTTGGTTCATAAGGTGATATATTATGCCACAGATTAAAATAATAAATCTGTGTCCCAGTTAGCTTTCTGTTGCTATGACAAACACCATGACTAACAGCAACTTGGGGAGGAAAGGGTTTATCTCATGTTACCGTTTTTTTTTTTTTTTTTTTTTTTTTTTGTCCATCATGAGAGGGAGTTGGGGCAGGACCATGGAGGCCGAAGCTGAAGCAGAGACCCTGGACATGTCTGCTTACTGACTTGTTCTCCATGGTTTGCTCAGCTTGCTGTCTTGTACCACTGAAAACCACCAGCCTAGGGGTGGCATCACCCACAGTGAGCTGTGCCCTCCCACATCAGTCATTAATCAAGAAATGCCTAGAGATCGATCTGATGAAGGCTTTTTTTTTTTTTTTCAGTTGAAATGCCCTTTTCCCAGATGACCAGAGCTTGTGTCATTTTGACAAACAGTCTGCACAAGTTGTTGTTTCCCTGTTAGAACTCAATTCTGTGAGGTTAGTCACACCCACTTTGGAGCTTTTTCTCAGGCCTTCATCAAGCCTGATTGTGGCATTGGAGCTGATCGTAAAGCATAACAAGAAAATGCTACCCATAACCAGCACCCTGAATTGGCGCACAGTCCCAGACACGTGTTCACATTGGAGTGATCTATTTTATTTTCAGCTGTAGTAAAACACGCAGATGTCATTGTTTCCAACTTCTTAAATCGTTAAGGTAATTCAGAACTGCAGAATTCTAGTTTCTGAAACTTCTTGGTTTGGAGTGAGACAAAACAAGAATAAACTTCCAACAGTTTGTTCTTGGTTTTAAAGTGTGATGCTCCTAACTTTAATTCAAAGCAGACATGACTGTGCCTCCCTTGGTATATATTTGTGAGAGAAATCTGGGAGTGAATACTTTTCTTTCTGTCCTGTGGAACTGTGGAAAATGTACTATAGATAACAAGCAATGCAGTCTGCAATATTGTAGAGGCTCGGAAGCTGATTTGTTCAGTAAAGTACATGAAGACCTCAGTTCAAGTCCCCAGAACCCATATAAAAAGATGGACATGGTGGCACATACTTGTAATCCCAATTCTGGGACGGTAGATACAGGCACATCCCTGGAGCTAGCCAGCCATCTGAGGCTGTTTGGCAGACTCCAGGCCTGTGAGAGAACCTACACACCTCCCCAACCCCCAAAAGGTAGATGGCACCTAAGGAATGACACCTACCCTCCAAATGCAGGAGTACACATGGATACAGGGACACAAGGAGAAATGTCCCAGGTTATTCCTTTTGCTTGTGTTCTAGTTATTTGCAAATGTTGTGTATTAGTCTCTGTAATTTTACACAGATCTGCTTTTGTCTGTGCAGATACTCAGCTTTCCTATTGTTTGGAGAATGAATGTCTTTCTCCTTTGTCTCCAAATAAGGAAATAAGCATGGACTAGACAGACCAAGGTTGTCGTACTGCACTGATTTCTGACTCTCTTTTCTCTCGTATTTTCCCTGTGGTAACATACCAGCATGCAGCCAACTATTCTGCTGTAATCCTTTCATGGACACATTATTTCAGAGCCCCTAAAAGCCCAGAACAGGAAGATCGCCAGGGTGTATCACTGTGTGTTCAAACTCGGCTGTTGGTCTTTGTTTCTCTAGCTTTCTGGTCCATGGCTGAGCATTCACACCAAGGCACCTTCTCCACATTTCTTCTTAATGTGTACATCTAACTGATTGGGCATGAGAGTTATTTCATATTTTTTTGTTTTGTTTTGTTTTTGGTATCACCCAACCCAGGCCTTCCTTGGATTAAGATGGCTTTCCAAGCATTGGTTCTCATAGACATCTGTCCTTCAAGCTGAGCCTGGAATTGAGAGTTGATAAGTAAAAAGGCAGAGTAGCCATTTTTAATATAGTTGTATTCATACCTCTTTAAAAACTGCTAAGCTGTTACCTGTGTATTAGGGTAAGGATTATGGTCCTGGCCAGTATACCCTATCTGAGTTTGCAGCACAGAGAAAGAGCTGTCATTGCTAAGAGCATGGAAGCAAAGTGAAAATTCTCCATTCAGGGTATGGAAATATTTCCCCTGGACCTCTGAGTTCTTATTACATTCAGAGACAATAGTGGACAAACACAGGACGTTCCTCAACAGTTCACTGGGTCTTATACTCTTAAACAGTCTAGGATTTACATTTGGTTTGGATATACTTCTTTAGGTGCGTGCATGTGTGCATGTTTGTAACGTAGCTCTCAAGGTTTGAAACTGAAATCTGAACATACGTTTTTTTTGTTTTTGTTTTTATTTTCTGCTCTGAAAATTTTGAGCAGGCTTTTGGCAATTTTCTTCAGATGACACTTAGCTTT